GCAGGTAGCTTTTTAATAGTACTAGGAATCTATAATAACAAATTCAACATGCTAGCATTGTTTAAGTATATAGCCTATACATCCTTAAATGTATTTAAGTTTGTGAAGAATTTCTAAATGAGAAATCAAGGCGGCTTAACTATAAAACAAGTACAATATATGGACGTAAAAGAGGCGAATCAAAACGTTGGTCTCGTTCAACGGTTGAATCGAGACCAATCGCGTTAATTATTGGCGCAGGATGCCGAAAACAGCGTCGTCCGGCGTGACGGTGAGTTTCGCGAGAATCGAACTATCGCGTCCGGGCATATCGCATAATTAAACCGCGACCAATTGTCCGTCGTTTCGTAATAACCCGGCGTTTTCATCGGAATAACAATTTCGCCTGGTGGGAAGGCGGTGGAATTTCCAGCTCGTCCGCGTTTTCAACGTGAAAATCGTCGCGTTTCGATGGTTGGCGATAAAACGGCGGGGCTACGCCGGGAGATCGAGGCGCAACAGGCGGGCCGCCGGCGGGGATTCCTCCCATCGATCGCGTTGATCGCTCGAATCGATCGGGGTTTCGATGAAACGAAGAACCCGGCGCGATGCAACGTAACGCTGTCGCCACGACCGGCCCGGGTTTTACCGTCGTTGCGTCGTCGTGTCGCGCTCCGTCTCGAATTTCGCGGGCTGTTTGTAATTAAAAGCCTCCCGCGCTGTTGGAACAACGCGAAATTAACGAGCCGCCGAGTTAATTAACTTTCGACGCGTTTCACGAATGATTATTGGATCCATAACTGTCTGAGAACTCAGTTATGATCGAATTTTTGCCTCGCATGTTTTTCCCTCTCTCCATGCTCCTCCGATATCGAAACTGGTTATCGCGTTCCACAATTTTTTACAACATTCGGAGAAACAGCATCAATTCTGTTGGTAAAAATACAATTTAATCGCAATAAAATATTTATTCTCATAAATTTCCATAGAACGTTTACAAAAAAGTCTACTAATTCAAAAATTGAACTTCTATCGCCGTGTCTTTGCCCTCATGATTTTTTAGTACTATGCACTATTTTAGGATCTCCGGTATTTTTTATCGGTCGAAAAATGGCAAGAGAAAATCTGTAGAGCCGCGTAACTTCGAGGATTTTCTTTTAGTACTGTGAATTTTTTCACCGGCACAACGGACGCTCGAAACGCGGTGAAAATTACCGAGAAATGGCCGCACACAGTCACCGCTGGTTTTCTTCTTTTTTACAAGAATTTCTTAAACGATTGGACTTCACGACTGTTTTGAAATTCAGATTTCAGAAAGGGTTCGTTTCATAATTAATGGATCCGATTATGTGGATTTAACAATGAATCGAGTGAAAATAGTTGAAAGTTTGATTACGTCGGGAGTTAATAAGGCTTCTTGATTCTGGAAGTTTATTTCTCAGAGAATAGCAAGGATTTGCTCGAGTCAGAGATTTTATGATAGAAACTTATAAAATTGATATCAGGTTTTACGGACACCCGTAAATTTGATTGTGTGTTCGCTTTTACGTAATCATACAAGTGAATTTATTGAAAGTATTTTATTTTATGGATACACGTGTAGTTCACGATAAATCGTTATTGCTTAGATTTGTATGAACATAAGAGACGATTTAAAACGTGCTTAAATGTCCAAACGACAGTTCGACCAAACCTAGTAGTATCTCTCGGTACACGGAACGTTCTAGCATTTATACGTGTGGAAGAGTCAGCCGGAAGTCGGTTTTCTAAGATCTTTCTCGCGAAGAAGGGAAAGAAATCAGCAGTGGTTAGACACGGGTACCAGCCGGAAGATTCGATCGAAAATCGAGAAGGGGAATCGAATTACGTTTCCCTGCAGCTGGCGTAACAAAAGGGAGATAATGGCCAATGGAAAACCGGAGGCAACGAGAAGCGAGCCCCAGGATCTTTGGATTACAGCTGCTCCATCTCGCTCTTATATCTAATTACCCCTATTTACAAGGTCTTCTGGTGTGAAAAGGTTTTGATGAGCAAACTAGCTGGCACCGCCTTTCCTTTTTGCCGAGTGAACGACGAGACTTATGGGTTTCGTGGACTCAACAAAGTGATAACGACAAAATGTGTAGAACTGTTTCACTTATAACTGTATTTGTGCATTGGATAAAAGCGAATGAAGTAATAGAAGAAGAAAATTTAGGTCTTTATATGAAAATTATATAAATCATGGTCGGTGAGTCAATTATTATCAATACTGCCAAAGCACGTATCTTTGAATTGTATTATTGGACAGAAATATCAAATGGAACTTGTGTCCTGTTCAATTCCAAGATTAAATTCGAGCCGGAGACATTCCTTTAAAAATTGCTTTCACGTTCAATCGATTCTTTTTATTTGAATTACATATAAGCACCTTCCACCTTCGCGAGTTCGACTCATGAAATTCGAATGAATGAGATTCCAGTTGAAATAAAATAAATGTAATAGTAGGAGGTGTATCATATCTCATTTCACGACACCGTGTCGTTTGAATCGAAGTCGATGAAACGTGTTACCTTTAAATAATAGGTAAATAGAATTTATGATATATTCAACTGGCTTTTAAACCAGTTATTCATCGGTTATTAGTTTGCACTCGACTTTGGAACTAGATCTGTGTTTAATGCTGGCCGGTTAAGAAATTATAGCTACCACGGTTATAATAACGATACATAATTAATACGATGAAACAGATATTGATCGGTTTCGCAGTAATTATTAGTACATAGATAGGTAGGTAAATAGTTAATATTATCGATCTAAATGTGTGGTATTAAGAGGAATGTAATGTCTGATTTCTATGGAGTACTCACCATTGATAACGTGCACGTTGACGATGGCTCTCTGTGCCACAGTGGGCACGCAACTATAATTCCCAGAGTCGCTCGATTTCGCGTGGGTGATCTTCAACCTATAATCAAATTTCAAAGCCTTTGATTAAACGAAATACAGCTACACGTTATTTATCAATTTGATATCGCCAGATAGATGCAATTCCATATTCCGAAATTAATATTATCATTCAGAAAATGATACAAAATACATATACTCTAGTCTTCTGCTTTATAAATAAATCAGCCTGTAATTTAATATATCTCTCATGTACATTTAATTTATTTTATCATGTCATGCGTAATGATCATTATTGCAGTAATCGAAAACAAGTTAGACGGATATTTTCACTAGGAGATTCTATTATGAATGATAGAAGTGGATCTAATTTCGCGAGTGATTATCGATACGGGGTTCCGGCGACGAACGGCTCGTACGAAATAATTGATGACGAAATTAACAATGGAGCATTGATGATTTATCGGCTATTAACTGCTGGTTAATAGTGCTTGCGGTGCAATGAATTATCCCACGTCCACACCTTCCTTTCTCGTATGAAAAATATAGGACGATGTATGAACTTTCATGAAATAGAGTCTGACTCGAGTTAAGACCGAGTGAAGTCACGTCTTCCTCAATATAATTGATAATATGGGATAACAATTTTTAAATGTTTAGAACGAGGTTAAAAATAAAACGCCTGAATGGAACCATCTATGGTAGAATTATATCGTTCGATGTCGTTTAAAGCTAGCGCAGCGTGCTAACAATAAAAATTATTGTCAGCCGACTGTTGTCAGAAACACGGTAGATATCGGGTGTCATAGGCAAGCCTCGTAAAATAAATCCAACGATCATGTTCACCTAAGCGTATTATCCCCGTGGCAGCGTTGTACATCATTCCTTTCACCGTCGTAATAATGGGTCCCCAACACTTCTCCCCCGAGCAACATAATGCCTGGTACACGGCGACGTTGGGTGCGAGCGTGTCGGTTGTAAGTAAAGTAAATAGTCCTACGGGCTGAGTAAGTAAACCCGGTCTGACGTGGATGTCTGATGATCATTATGATTATTTTTCTTAATAAAAAGACTGGAAGTTTGTGTCACAACTTCAATTGACCCGAAACGATGAACTATTCGTTTGCAACGTTTCATGTCACATTTTCGGTGTTAGATAATGTAAAATATAATTAGCATCTCTGTAATCAAGTCGATGTCGGGTATTGTATACATTATCATTGTACATTATCATATCAAATGCGAACGTTCGATGGCGACCTATTGTAACGAATCCGCAGTTGTCTCTTTGTTTGCTTTATTTCTCATCTGGTTTACACATGTAGTAGAGAGTATTTATTGTTTTTCGATTTAATTGTATTCGTACACGCATTGTGCTGTCTGTCCGTTTGTTCGTTCGCAACGGTACTGAATTCTCCATTGAATTACAATCCCATTGAACAAAATTTCACGGAACATTTCTCGTTTCGTAGATTAAAAATCAGATCCTGTCCGCGGTTTGAAAATGTTTACCGAATTTGTCATCCTTATGATTTTATCATTTCGTGTCTCTGTAAGTTGTCATTAAATTTCAATCGCGCCTGTACAGCCCCCTGAACAACCAGAAATAATATACTGGGCAGTGGGAGCCGTAAAGAAGCTCCGGCAAGGCAAGTTCGCTCCCAATAGATTATTGATTAATCATTTACTTGGCGTACTTCGCCAGTTAGTTTCATCGTGCAGTATTGTAACGTATCACACCCTGGGGGCTAATAACGATCGTTTAAGGGTTACGTAACGACGTCCCGAGCGTCGACGTCGTCGTTCCCGGTGCAACAGAACACGCCTTGAGAAATAATTATTTTAATGCATGTATGTGGAGAACCAGCTTCGCATAACCTTAATAAACCCACCCTGTATAATGGGAACGAATTGCACAAGTCAATAACGATATTGCTTGACAAATTCGTAAATAATCTTCGTGATACGTATGTGGCTGAAAAATCCATTCATTGATTAAATTTCGTTGCCTGCATTTAAAAAAAAAATTAGCCGGCAATTAAATTCAACCCTTTCTTGTTTCACGGTTCACGGATTATAACTTCCATCCCTCCATTCAGAGGACCGGGCAAGCTCAGCACGTGCGCTATAATATTCAGCCGGTCCTCGGAGCCAGGCAGTGAAACGGGTCAGTCCTTTGTCAGACGAGTCGTGCACCGTGAAGACGCATCGGGCATGCTCTGCATTTCTAGCCCTAGTAAGCCCTAGTCCGACCGTGCGGTGCCGGCTCCCTTGTCAGTCCCTGGCTGGTTTGTGTGTCGCAGGAATATTGCAGCCCAGGGCTCGCGTCTGTTTTTGGACGTGATTGACGATTGTCAGCCACGCTGCGTTTCGCGTCGACGAATTTACGAGATGCCCCGGGTTCGGCCTGGGCGGGGAGCGGGCCGAGGCCTCAAGAACCAGGAATTAATTGTCTGCCGCGTGGACCGGGATTGCATGCGACGACGCAACGCGTTCTTCCTCTATCAGGGAAGACGGATCTCCGCGTCGAATTGTCACCGCGATATTTACGCCGTCCAACGCCGCGCGCGCCTACGGATTGATCAACGGGTATAATTGTGATCGATGGCGCCGCGGCCGGATCGTTGTACCGGTTTCGGCACGGAATAATTAACCCGCGGTGAATTTGTTCCGCTTTTGGGAGTTCTCTTTCAACTCGTGGGCAGCCGGCGCATTCCGTTATAACGCCTATTAATTTATTATGCGCTCAACGTATTCACTGGGTTATTTCTCGGTCGAAAGCTTCTTTCGAATTCAAACATCGCGTTAATCTTTCACATCGTACGGTTAGAAATTACATACATAATAAATTTCAATGGTTATCGAGTTAAGTGCAGGCGTGACAATTTTATATCGTAATTTAAAATAAAATTCTTTTGAACGTATTATCAATTTCAACTTTGCTCATTAACATTTATAAGTAGTATAAATAACAGGTATATAATAGATGCTCGATATTTCGAATAAATGATATGACGAATGGACGGACTGTAATTGAATTACATATTGATTGAGGCTTACCTTGACGTGAGTGCGCCACTCCATTCGGTTTTGACAGTGATGCGAGGCTCGCCGTTAACGTCGTTCTCCGAATGCGGCGACGTTACCACCGGTTCATTACCGCGGTACCAAGCCACTGTCCCCAGATCGTGAGGCCCCTGAGACATTAAGCAAGTCAACGTGAGGAGGCTCCCGGTTTTCACGTACAGGTCCGATGGCCCGAGTATTCTGGCTCCTGCCGCTGTAACAAAAATTATTCACCGTCGATTAGCTCGATCTGGCTCGTTTAATTAGAAATTGACATAATGTATAAAAGACTCGTCAAATCTTTTGTTATTCACTTCTACAACCATGTCGCATGAAATGAAGACTAATAGTAATAATTAATTCTTCATTAGTATCAATCGTATCTTATCAATTCAAATGTAAGAATTTGAAACACGCAATTAAGCTGCTGACACATTTCGCCAGAGAATTCTTGTTCAATCGGATACCAAGTCACAGGTACAGTTTGATAAAAGTTAAATGACAGACGTCTCGAGACGTGGTTTTCCAAGCTGCGTCAATTTTCGAGACTATTATCGGATATTCGACGCAGATAAGTTATTCATATCGCGAGGCAAATCGTGTCGTATATAAGCGGCAAGCGTTTCAGCTATCCTGGGGATTCGGTTCGACCTACTTTGTGATTAGCACGCGAATGTTTCCTCGGCACTGTGCATTTATAATGACCGCACAAGTAATTACGTGCGAGCATAATTGTTGCCAAAGCGGAGAGAGCCGAGAGAGGGCAAATCATGTACAATACGCGGGCCAACCAGCGATCCCGTCGGATCGTTTAAAATTCCACTATGTACGAAGTTTCCTGATATGAACTAGAGAATCTATACGTCGAACGACAGCCGCTTTACTGCGAGCACGATGGGTGTGTATCTCACGTATTTCCATTTATTTCATGCATTTCACCATTAATGCAGATTCTCAGTCGGTCGCATATCTATTGTACGTACAGATATACACGTACGTATTAAGCAAAGATTATTCTTAACTTAGCAATTCTGTTTTTAATTTCAGAGATGATACCAGGAAGTTATTCACACGTTAAAATGGCGTACTACTGTTAAATCGATGATAAATCTTTAAACGCTGTTTCCAAAGCGATTTCACGTATTCAATTTCCACAGCCAAAGACCCTCTTCTCGATTTTAGTGTCTCATTTTTTTTTTTCTCTTTAGGAAAAAGCTCTCATCAATTTCACTGTGGTCAGCGGACGTTTCTATCACGGCTACAGTTGAATGACTTCGGGCGATCACAAGGGGAATGTGTCTAGTCACTGTTGAGATATCAAATTCGAGCAGGAATAACGGAAGCCGTCTAATTCACGCTTTTCCATCGTGGGGATGCGTAGGTATCGATTTTCGCTTTCCACTACCGTGAATACCATAGTCTGACGTTTCTCGTTAATTTCCCAATTCTTAGTTCTCGCTTTTTATGTCTAATTAGAAATAAATATCGGTTCTATTATTTCCTGAACGTCAATACAAATCTAACAATAATGTCAAAATGTCGAAAAGAGTTTTAATAACAAATTGTTAAATTTATTAAGGTTGTATGAGCTGTAAGATCTCTGCTAAAAGTTTGAAACATATAATAGAAAGCTGTGTCCAATATTTGAAGCAATGAATTTTCAAGATGATAATTACAGATGAGTAAGGTTTATAAAATTGTTCGACCTGTTTTTC